AGCCCTGGATTAATGCTGACTCTGGTTCATCTCCCCAGTACTGCTGATGTAAGGCTTGTTATCCAGATCACAGACTGCACTGCTCCCTGGGCATCTCTGTGTATTCTGCTTGCTTAATTAATTCTTACTGCTCTTAGCTTATAGCTTTTCTTTCTTGGGTGGGATATGAGTGGTGCATCTTTTTAGATTTTCTCTATTTTTTGAAAATTCAGCAATGCATCAGAAGTAATTTTTCATTAGGATTTAGTTTTTTAAATATTCTAGTAAATATCTTCCAAGAATATAAACATGTAAGCATAAACTTATAACTACATAATACAGATACTTCTCATGTAAGAGATCTAAGTATAGCCACTATTATGGAGTTTATTATAAACATATTACATGTATTCCCAGAATATATATATTATATGGTTATATCATAATTATATCATAATTGCTACAATAAACTAAACACTGCTGAACATCTGCTTTCAAATTGTTATAATAAGCAGCACTATGTAGATGATCCTTATTCATCTCTGAACCTATTGGATCATATTAATTAGAAAATTAGTCTAAACATGAAACTCTTGGGTCAAAGTGTATAGGTAGTTAAAATTTTAATCAGTATTCCTAAATCACGTCACTGAAACTACCCTACCAACAAAATGTGTAAGTACTTGTTTCCACAAAAAAACTCACCAATGCTGGGCATTATATATTAAACTTCTTTCTCTCCCAACCTAACAACTTTTCCTTGTTAATTTGAAGTGCAACTATTCAAGCATAATCACTGTGAATTACTTCTTATTGAATTTTTGAAGACAGGCCATGTCTAATTATTCTATTAAAACGTCTACTCATTACCTTTGCACATTTTTTTCTACTGGGTGTTTATCACTTTCTTATATATTGTTAAGGGCTACCATTCTTTGAAACATTTTGAAAACACTTACTAGAACTTTGTTTCTTGCTTTTTAATATGCTCAGTGATGACAAACCTTGAAAAATGAGAATGAATTTCCTTTTTTTCTATATAGACAAACTTCATTCAAAACAGTAAAATAAAGTCGATGACGTGTATGTACAGGTATAGAAATGAAACTATAATTTTTAAAAAATAGTAGTGCTCCTGGAGTCAGCACTAAGCTTCCTTAGAAACTATTTTAGATTATGGAAATAATAGTATATTTATAAAATTGATCTAATTTATTCAGTCATAATCTGAATGGTATTCAAGCCATACATACTGTTAAATGTCTCCTTGTAAGCTGAGCCAGGACCTAAACAAAAGGGGAAACCCAGCCACCTAATAAATTCTATCCCAGTGTCCCCAATATAATTTTCTTCTAAATAATTTCCATTATTTGAAATCATCTCATTGATTTGTCTGTGTGTTTACTATTAGTTTCTCCTAAAATACAATTCTAATTTCATGAGGACAGAGAAATTCTCTGTTAATGATCATTGCTCTATACTCAGAAATAAAATATTATAGAGGTTAATCCAACTATATCACTATTCATTTTGAATGTCAATGTTCTAAATATTCTAAATGTACCAATTAAAAGACACCAACTGTCAGAGTGGATCAAGAAATAAAGGCCAACTATATGTCTACAAAAAAACCATCTTAAATATAAAGACACATATATATTAAGTGTAAATGGATGGAGAAAATTTACTATATTAAAACCAATCAAAAGAAAGCTACAGTAGCTATATTAATTACAAACACAGAAGACTTCAAAGCAAGGAAATTTATAAAGGATAAGGAATGGTATCACATAAATATAAAGAGATCAATTCTCCACAAAGACATGACAATCCTTAACATGCATGCATCTGACAACAGAGGATCACCTATGGGACACAAAATCTAATTGAGTTACAAAAAGAATTAAATAATTACACTATCATAGTTGGAGATTTCAATACCTCTCTATCAGAAGTGGACATATCCAAGCAGAAAATCAGTGAGGACACAGCTGAACTCAACTGGAGTTCACAACCAACTAAACATAACTAACATCTATGGACTACTTCAACCAGCCATTATTCTCAAGCTCACATGGAACATTTACCGAGACAGATCACATTCTGAGTCATAAAGACATACCTTACCAAACTTAAAAGAAAAGAAATCATATAATATCTGCTCTCAGACCACTTTGATGGACACCTGAAACTAACACAATATAGTAACACAGCTATATTTAAATAAATAAATAAATAAAATTTACAGTATGTAAAATTCCACAAAAATTTACATTTGATATCTATCAGTTGGTATGTTATACGTAATTATTTAATACCTAACAAAAATATTCAGAATACTTCCTAAAAGGTGGATTTATGGGTAAAGCTGTATTTTCTTTTATAATATGGATTCTAGTAGTTTCCTTCTGTCAGTGAGTCAATGCTGTTTAAAACTATATGATGACATATATGTGACTACAAAGGAGTTCCCACAGCCACACTGTACTTAAGTAGTACTGCTGGAACAAAAAAAGATGACAATTACATCTTGTTATTCTTAAGATTTGGGACTCATTTTTCACATGTTTAGATGTATTATGAGCAAGGCTCTTAAATCAAAGAACTGAGCATTCAAACTGGAAAAGCTAGTTAATATTGTTAGCTTTAACATATTTCTATTTCTTGATGTTCACTTTTGCAATAGTAAAGTGGATATGTTAGGAAAACAAAACCACATTGTTTTAATTAGAAACTAATTTTAAGAAAGTTCACCTTAAGTACATTTTACTTTTTTGAGCTTAATAATAATTGAAGATAAATGCTTCATGTAACAGTGGGTTCTTTACATACCTAAAAATGTTATATCTCTCTTACATTTTACCATAATATTTATTACCTAATCAATTTTTATGTTGGCTGCAGGCTTTATTAATTTGAATAAAGGTTTTGATTACATTCTTCTGTCAACAATGAATTTATTATCAGCAACATTCATGTATATACTACTACATGTCTGTCTATTTTCTTATTTAAAATGAACATTTTAAAAAGTTTTAACTGATATATAATTAACATACCACACTATTCATCTATTTAAAGCATACACTTCAGTGTTTTTTAGTGTATTCCCAGATATGTTCAACCATCACCACAGTCAACTTTAGAACATTTTTATCACTTTAAAAAGAAACGTGTGCACTTTAGCAATCACTCCTATTTTCTTCTTTTACCCAGCCCTAAGCAATCACTAATCTACTTTCTGTCTCTATAGATTTGCCTATTCTGAATATTCTGGATAAATGGAATCACAAGATGTGTGCTCTTTTGCAACTTGTTTTTTTTAGTAGATATAATGTTCTGAAGATTCATCCATGTTGCATCTTATATAAATCCTTAATTAATTTTTCGGGCTTAATTATATGCCATTGTGTGAATATACCACAATTTGTTTATCCATTCACTAACTAATGCACATTTCAGCTGTTTCTACCTTTTGGCAATTACTAATAATGCTGCTAAAAACAATACTGCCTTAACATTTACTATCTTTTTGTACAGCATCTTATGGTAAAACAGAGATGAGGGATTGGGCCTTCTCATTTCTTTCCTGAGTATGCACATAGCTCTGTGAATGCATGTGTCCTCCATATTCCCAAGAATACGTCAGAGCCTTTCAAAACTCTTATGGGCATCTCATTCCCCAGCTTTTCCTTTTAAGCTATTTGATTAATACGTTGTTTGACCTAAACTGGAATCCATCACTTCAGGCAACCTAAAGTTAAAACACTTGCCTACACTGTATTTGACAACCCCATCTACCAACTCCCCTGCCAAGAAGAAGGCTAGTCACACTGAATGATATGAGTCCCTGGGGTCTACCAGGGAACCATCAGACAGGTTATATGGTAATTATTTGGGAATAAGGCTTAAAAGGAGCTCCAGCTCCATTCTGCTTCTTCTGGTAGCTGCCAGGATGCATGGGGAACATGAACCATTATTTTTCCCAAGATACTGCTGAGCTGGGAGAGTGGGAGATGCTGACTAAGGCAAACTAAAATGCCACCAAGTTTTCTGTTCCTATCTAGATACAGGTGTTTTTCTTTAATAAACACTCCTTAGATCCTTGCAAGTACGGCTAATTTCCTGAGTTTCACTGAAGAATTGTAAGTGTTCCCCAATATGCAGTCTCTATAAAATGCTTCATAGTTCTCATGTAAAATACTTTTGTTTGATCTTCAATCTTTTTAAAGATAAGGAATTTATAGCTTAGGAAACTTGTAACTTTCTTGAGCCATCAATTAATTGCCTTAGGAATATTACATTAACCCTTAGAAGACTAGGTTCTGTACCTAGTGTTACAAAAATGTTAATTCCCAACAATCTTTGCCCTTTTTTCCGTTGCTTTTATGGATGAGTAAATTTTCAAGGTCCTTACACTAATAGTGGTACATGCTACAACATGAATGAACTCTGAAAACATTACGCTAAGTGAAAGAAGCATAGCTAAGTTATAGGAACACATCAATATAGATATTTATGTTAAAATCTTCACATTTTATATAAGTATTTGCAAAGATTTGGGGCAATGACTAGTTAATAATGTGATTTATACTGATAAATTCAAAGTTTTAGACATGGGCAAAGAGGCAAGCTAAAAGAATTTATGGAGACCTTTTTTTTAAAATTCCTCAATAAGAGTAAATCTTTAATGACTGTATCTGAATTTTTTTCAATATATGGAGCCTGTTTTTAAAATCTAAGAAACAACACAATAAATATCATACAAAGATGTTAAGATAAAGAAAAAAACTAAGTGGAAAAGGAATTCTAGTAAAATATTTGTCAAAAGATTTGGAGTTCTTGCTATGACCTTATTAAAGAAATCTAAGTATTAAACTTTACATTAGTTAGCATTGCCTGGGAGTTTTTTAAACTCATAGACATGTCTAATGCAAATATGAACCAAACAACACATGTAAAACAGAATATTCACTTTTATAATATAGGTTACTGTAATTTATTTTTAAAGTTCCTTTTACCTTTATTGTCTGCCTGTTTGTCTGAAATCGTTGATCAGACACCTGCTGCTGATGAAGGAGTTTTTCATTGACTTCTTTATATTCTTTAACAGACAGTTCTGCTGCTTTTTTGGCACTGAAAAGTACACTGTTTTGTTGTTGCAAGGATACAATCCGTTCTCGTAATAAAATAATATTGCTACTTGATTTCTGGGCAGTTATATTTTTCCACTTTTCTCTGTTAACTATACAAAAATAATGTTAATTTTTTAACAGTTCATTAAATTTAAAAGACATTGTTAATTTCACATATCTTCTTACCTCTGGTAGGACCTGTTGTATGTGAACTCTTTTGAATATGACCATTCTTCTTTTGAAAAGCTGGCTTTTTGGCATTCTTGTGAAAATAAATCTAAATTTTAAAGTTTCATAAAAATTAATTATTCAATAACATCAAGTGAACCAACATAATATATAATCTTTGTTTACTTAAAAATATATTTGTTTTGTGGAGTAAAAATGTCTGGATAATAAAATTCTACAGTTGACACCAAAAACTTATAAATGAACATAATACATGCACTAAAGTTAACCTAGCAGACAGAAGGTACAAATACAAAACTCAACCCAAAAGTCACAGAAATTTAGCCTAGGGACAGTTTTAAAAGCTATGAATAAAAATCATAAAAGCAACAAAAATAAAATAACAATATTTAATAACTTATTCTCTGGGAATCTTGATCTTTTTCTCAAATACTATTCTCTGTTGTAGACTGATGAATCCCTTCTGACAAATGAAGATAAAACAATGTTGATGATTATAAAGTAACTTTCCTTGAAGCTGCATGTTTTCCTCATGACATTCCAGTACACTGAGGCTAAGTAAAATTAAGTCATGTTGACTTTTGTTCAGAAATGTTTCATCAATCTATAAAACCTTTCCCAAAGCAAAAATTTAAATAGGAATATGTTGCAAAATATTATAAATTCTAATAATAAAATATTTGGCCTTATTTAAGAATTTATTGCCTGGGAAACAGGAACAATATTAATTCAGAAAACTATTTCTTTAAAAAAAGGAATTTTTTTCAAAGAACCCAATTCAGGAACAAATAAATAATTATGGTAAAAGTGGAAGGAAAAAATAAATTTGACTGAATGTTACTTTGACAATGAGCTATATATTTTATACTGATGAATATATAAATTACACTATATTATATATAAGGCATGGCCCTAAAGTAATAAAACTGATTTATTAACACAAATACCAGAAACTCCTATCTAAGATAGGGTTTTCCTTTAAACTAATTACTTTCCTTTAAACAAACTATGTTTCATTTCTCAAAGTATTTTTAAAATGTCTCATTTGAACTTGTCTTCAGAACCAGTATATAAGATGCATTTTTAAATGTTTCATTGCTTTCTTACGATTCAATTAATATTATATCATGTACTAATTACTATAAAAAGATCCAAAACAGAACCACCAAATTACCAATATCAGTTACCATACTTGGCATCAAATTAATTGGACCTAAAATAAAAGAGACTTTCATTTACTTTGAAGCAAGCACACTTAAAGTCTGTTTTAAACATGAGAAAGTGTTAAGGGAAATTCTGAGGCCAAAAATAAAGCAAAGCAAGAATCCAGTGAGACTAATGACAAAGAAGCCAGCAACATACAGGACAACTGATAATCCCTTGTGACCCTGAAATTCCATATAAATAGCAAATCAGAATATAGAAACCTGTAAAGAAAGCCTAGGTCCCAACTCAAGATGAGAAATTTGAAGTCACGAAGCTAAGCTATTGTATATATCAATAGCCTGTACCTTTTTTTTATTGCTGAATAGTATTTCATGGTATGGATGTATCACACTTTGACTAATCAGCTATTGAAGAAAATTTTGGTTGTTGCAGTTTTTATCTACTACAAATAAAGCTGTCACGACCATTCATATACAGGATTTTTGGTAAACATAAATTTTCATTTCTATGCAATGTGTCCAAGAGTGAGATAGCTGGGTTGTATGGTAAGTCTATGATTAGTTTTTTTAAAAAAAGGAACTGCCGTTTCCAACAGTGCTGTACCACTCTGTATTCACACTAGCACTGTATGAGAGATCCAGTTTCTCTGCATCCGTGTCAGCACTTGGTATTGTTTCATATTAGCTATTAGATGTGTATCTCATTAGGGTCTTAATATGCATTTGCCTAATTGGTAATGATGTTGAACATCTTTATATGTGCTTTTTTGCCATCCATTTATCCTTTTCAGTGAAATGTCTGTTCATGTCTTTTGCCTGTTTTCAAATTGAATTGTTCGATTTTCCATTGTTGAGTTTGAAAAAAATCCTTATGTATCCAACACACCAATCTTCTGTCAAATATATGGTTTACAAATACTTCCTCCCAGTCTGTAGCATTTTTTATCTTCTTAATAGGGTCTTTCACAAAGTTCTTAATTTTGATGAAGTCTAATTAATTGATATTGTCTTTTAGGGATCATGATTTTGATATTATGTCCAAAAACTCCTCAGCAAGCCCAAACTCTTTTATGTTTCCTTCTGAAAGTTTTATATTTGTTTTACATATATATCTGTGATCTATTTCAAATTAATTTTTGCATAAGGTGTGAAGTTTAGGTATAGGTTCATTTTATTGCCTAGGGATCTCCAATTGCTCCAGCACTATTTGTTGAATAGCACTATCCTTCTTCTATTGAACTGCTTTTGCAACTTTGTCAAAATCATTTGTTCATACTTGTGGATGCATTGCATCCATCATGTGAGTAATACATTCATTCCCCACTTGTTGAGTGTTCTGTGTCATTAGTCTTGACATCAAATTAACTGGTGAGGACTGATGACATCCTCTGTGGGGTGAACACAAAATAGTTATCTTATTTTTTGGATAAAATTTCCATCTGGTTCTATTTTATATCTTCTATTTCTTTGATAAGACTTTCTGTTTCACTCTTATTTCAAGCCTGTTAGCAAATGCTTATTGAAGCATTTTTATGACAGCTACCTTAAAATGCTGTCATATAGTTTGAACATCTGTGTCATTTTGCTTCTGGCTTTTGCTGTTGATCATCTGTTTTTTTTTTCATTCAAGTTGAGGTGTTTCTGGTTGCTAGGTATGGTGAATGATTTTCAGTTGTATCCTGGACATTATGGGTATTATGTTTCAAGACTCTGGATCTTATTTAAATCTTATGTTTTGGTAGGCCTCCCCTGATGTCACATGTATGGGATGAGGGAGTACTAACTCATTACTGTCAGTTGGGGATGGAAGTCCAGTCTCTGCTGACACCCTAGATAGGGAGGGGCACCTCATTACTACTTGGTGAGAGTGAAAGTTCAGGCTCCCCACAGACCTCTGCTGATACCACCCTGGTTGGGATACAGAGCATGGCCTTGTTTCTGCTCCTAACTTGACCTCTACTGACACCATGGGGAGAGGGTGGGAGGCTTTATAGATATAGGAGGTGATGAAAGTCTGCATCTCTACCCTTGACCTCTGAAAAATCCCTACTAGAAAGGGAAAAGGAACATCTCTTTTTTGTGGATGAAGATGGATGTCCAGCTCCCTGTATGGTCTCTAATGACATAAAAGGAGGGAGTGATTACTATTGGCCCCTCATGTGACCCTGACAGAAGGAGGAGGGATGCCTTTTCATAGCCAGGTGAGAGCAAAGTCTAGGTTCCCCACTGGGTCTTTACTGGTCGGGTAGAGGTAGAGTTGCAATTTTTCCCATGGTGATTGGTTCAAGAAGGACAGTTACTGTGTAAAAGTTTTCTGTCTCTCTGGGCTGTCACTTTGATTAGAGAAAACAGGATTTTATAGGGGGCTTTTATCCTCTGACCAACTGGCATTTCCAAGCTGCAGGTTTCTTCAGCACCCAGGCCAGGATGTATGAGGCAAAATGAAGACCCAGAGAACTTATCAACTATGTTGTTCCTCGAGTTCTGAGATCCCTAGCTGGTGTGTCTCCTTTACCTTTCAGAGTCTTCTTATTGTTTTATTATTAATTTATATTGATATAGTCCCTATCAAAATCTCAAAGGATATTTTTGTGAGAAACTGCTTATAAATTCATTTTGAAGGGTAAAGGACCAAGAACATTGAAGAGACTCTGAAGGAAAACATGATGGGCAATTTGCTCTATTATCAACAAGACTACTATAAACTAACAGTAATGAGACAGTATGATATAGATTAATACACCGATGGAACAGAAGAAAAAGTCTAGAGACATACCTACATGTATATGCACCTTTGATTTACAACAAAGGTGGTGCTGTTGAACATAGTGGGGAAAAATGTGAAACTTAACCCTACCTTATACTACATGCAGAAATCAATGCCAGACATAGACATGAACATCAAAACAGTAAGTCAGATAATACAGGAAAAGATAACAAGTAAAGTAGTATAAAAAATATCTAAGCTGTAGTAGGTAAAAAATTAATATATAGAACACAAAAAGTCCTATTCATACAGGCAAAAAAATTGTTGAATTTGGTCACACTAGAATTATGATGTTTTATTCCCCAAAAGACTCCACGAAAAAAGAGTGAAAAGACACAGCACGGAATAGGGCAAGATATCTGCAATGTATACAATCAACAAAAGGCTCCTAAGCAGCATATTTAAGAACTTCCACAGTTGAATAAGAAAAAGGCAGACAATTCATTTGTAAAATGGGCAGAGACTTGACGAAGCAATTCACTAAAGAATTCCAAATGGTCAATAATTGTAAGTAGTACTTACCAGCATATTTGTAATCACTGAAATGTAAATTAAACCCACAATGATATACCTCAACATACATACAAAACTGGCTGAGATGAGAAGAACTAACATACTGAATGTTGACGAGTAGCAGTAAAAATGGTCATAGTCTGTTGGTGGATGCAATAAATTGGCACAACATTTGGAAAATAATATTATCAACTAAATCTCAGAAACACATAATCTATGGTGCAGTAATTCCACCTGTAGGTATTTCATTACAGAAATGCCCATATTTGTACCATAAAAGACATTTACAAGAATATTCATTACAACATTTGCAAGAAATCCAAACTGAAGCAACCCCAAATTTAGCAGTAGAATGGATAAATAAGTTGTGGTGTATTTGAACAATGAAATACTTTATACAACAATAAGAATGAATGAACTCCACATAATGCTGAACAAAGGAAGGCCAGACACAAAAGAAGACATACCTTACTGATTCCATAAAGTTCAAAAATAGGCAAAATTAACCATAATATTAGGAGAAATAAAATTATGAAGAATACAAGGGGGATAATTAATTTAAAGTTAAAATAATGTTTATCTTTGGAGTTGATAGAAAGTTTCTAATATTTTCCAAACACAATTGGTATAATTTGGCCAACTGTTATTTTCTGACTTCCAACAACATACATAGATCTATTCAAAGTAGTTTACACTATACTCTCTTATTTTATGAATGGAATTATGAGTTACTTTATTTATAAACTCATTAAGCTGCACATAAATAAATGCAACTAAACAAAATTCCAAAGCAAATAATGCGTGGCAAGTTGGAGATTTCTGTAAAATATATTTATCAACCAACCACTCAATCAGCAGGTACTCAGCATGTAATTCTTCATCTAAACTTTATTCTGGCAGTCACTAAAATAAACTGGTGTCATCCTTGAACTTTTTCCTTCAAAGTTCTGGCTAGATCTCAAAAAAAAAAACAAACAAACCACTTTTGGATTTGATTTTTAAAGAACACTATAGTTTAGCTCAAAGATAATCTGTTTTTTTAAAAACAAAAAGAATTATCTTTCCCCAGATTTTCACTGATTTATGCTGAATTGATAAACTTTTTGGTGACATGATGTACCAGTGGTAAGAATTATTGAATAAGTTGTTTTGGAACATCAATAGTTTAATATTTAAAATACACTGGGGAATAAAATAGGAATCAGAAATTAAAGACTTAAGACTAAATAATTTATTATCATGAAGGCTAATATAAAAACGGAATTTTCTTCTCTTCATATATTTCACATACCTGAAAACAGTAATGAGCTTATTATCACCTTTATTTACTTATTTTCTGACTGAGATATAAATTTCTTAAGATTTATATTTAGGAAAATAATATCCACTTCTATTTTCATCTACACAAAAGACTAAAAATTAGTACTTAAAATTATTTAAAAGTGAGTATTTTCAGTGCATACTTCAAAAATATCAATTTTTTAAGGTTTCAAATTAAATCACTGGCAACAAAAATTGATTTAAGGTATGCAGCATGAGCTAAAATTAAAAACATTGCTTATAATTAAGCAAAACTGTGTCATGTACCTTTGAGGTCTTGCCATCTACATTTGGATATATTTGTACTATTTCTTTTCCTTGCACTTGGCTGTCTTCTGTTTGGTCATTTTCTTTCTGGTCTCTTCTATCTTCTGTAGGACTTATTTCCTGGGATGTTTCTACAATAATTGTTCCCAAATTCTGTAAGGTCTGCGTTTCAGAATCACTGATTTTGGGGAAAAGGGGGCATAAAACCCAAGAAGAAGAGTCATTAAATATATGTCTTTTAAGTTCAAGACCAAATAATATCATAGCACGTGTTGCATATATAGCTATAAGTTTAATTTGAGCATTTACTGGTTCTCATTGTTAAGAGAGAATCAGTCAAAATATATTGAGAGAAAATTAATCTAAATGTATTTTACAAAATTACAAAATCTCATCAAAAAGTTAGATTATCTAGTATCACATGCCTGCTGGCATCACAGCTATAGTATTTCTCCCAGGGTTCACTCAGTAAACACTCATTTTAACACTTCCAGGGTTAGAAAACTCACTACTTTCTGTGCCAGGGCAGAAAGCTTTAATAGTTCTAACAGAAAGTTTTCTTTTAGACAAGTACAAAATTTGAATCTCTGAGCCTTATAATACCCACTGACCCCAGTTTCATCTCTTATGAGTATTCATCATTCAATATAATACTTGTTAAGCACCACTCTTCTGGGCACAAGGGATAAAGTAGTGAGTGAAAAAATTAGATAAAAATATTTTCCTTCATGTAGCTTCATCCTACTGGGGTGGGGGTACAGGTAACAAATAAGGGGAATAAGTTATATACATATATATATAGTATGTTAATAGTTTGTATTAAAGAAAAAATAAAGCAATAGAGGAACATGTAAGTCCAGTTCCTTTTCCATGTGGATGATCTTTTAATTATTTGGACATAATTATATGATGCTTTCAACGTCTCTAAGAAAAACATACCTTGCTTATTCAAATATTCCTAATATGAATGTTTTTAAGATGCTTTCCCACTCTGGTCCCTCTTGAATGTACACCAGCTTATTTTGATGGAGCATTATGTCCAGAATTCAATTTCATATTCCAAGTGTACTAAGTACTATGAGAAGTACTTAGTAGCACTCCTGGTAGATGCAGACTAAAATTGTGTAAGCTTTTCCAGTAAGCATATCATACTGTAGCCTCATACAGGATTTAACAAAAATTCTTATGTATGCTGTTATAAAGTCTGATATTTTTCCTGTTGCATAGTTGAATAATTGGTATTTTATAGCCAAATAAAGGACTCTGTAGTCTTTTAGATAACTATATCTTTCCAGTCTATTGAGATTTTTGGGAATTGTGATTCTATTTTGTATTTTCCAGCACTTTCAATGTCACATTATCCACAAATTTGATAAACATGGTTTGCTGAAATTCTGTTTTTCTTCTTCAAGGCATTAACAACTCCTCCTGATTATCACTCATCACTGAAAGAGCACTGATAAAAGTAATTCATGTATCAGAACCCACTAAATGCAGGCTGCCCCAGTGGCCCGGCCCGTATCAGAAATTGGAACCTGAACTATGGGAAATGCCTCACTATCAAGGAAACCTAACATACACCAGTCACAGACCTGCAACTCAGCTTTATCTAGTTTACTTTACTCTAGAAAATAGGACCTGCTACCGTTACAAGAAAATCCCTGACCTCCTAGCCAATCATACCCTGTTTCTGCTTTCTCTCTTCTAATGCTCTATAAAACTCCCCCTTGCACCAAATCCTTCGAAGAGTGTTTCTGAGCTTGTTAGGCACTGTACTCCCCCAATCCACACGTGTTTTCCTGTGAATAAAGGTCTTCATACTTGTTAATAAATCGCGTTATTTTTGTCATTTGACAGCATGCTCTTGTAATGCTATTCAACTATGGGAAATAAATAATAAGGTAATAATTATATAAGATAGTATTTTATATCCAAATATACAAAGGGCAAAGTTCTTTTTTCCTTAGTATCCAAGGAAATTTCTTATATTTCAGATTATGAAAAGCTAAAAGGAATAGAATGTTCTGAAGCCCTGAAGCTTCATTGCGGGATTTCTAATTGTTTGAGAATTCTTTACAGCTGAGTGAATCCTGAAACTGTTCTGTCAAGCAGGAAATGTAACACTTAATCCTCACAGAGTAAAACTGAGTTTCACTGCTAAATAACTTAAATGACAATCCTATGTTTTAAGAGATATCGTGTGATACATCTCCCAAAATATGTGACCCTCTGCATATGCACTGGCAAAATGAAACTGAACTGAGTGTATTCCTTAACCTTCATGTATTTATTCACACATACACATGAGTAAATATGCACCACTATTTTATGAAGAGTGTGGTAGTAGCAACTAACTGGGATATAATTAGTAGATGAAACCAGAATTTCCTTGAAGACAGATAAATGCTTAGTGGGTTTTAAGCTAAGTAGGATTTTATCTCTAATTGCTTTTTTGAGAACAACGAAGAAAACCTTAGAAGAAGTAACAAAGAAATAGGAATGCAGATTTGGTCTTTCTTCTTTATATTCATAAATTTGTTCTTAAGTTTTTCACCAGCTTAAGGACAAGAGGCTTGACCAATGATCATTTAAAACACAGGTTCCCAAACTTGTCTGCATATTGGAATTAACTGTAGAGCTTCAAAAAAAAAAATACCAAACTTGTAACCCATTCCAGAAGTATGATTTAACTGTTTTGAGATGTGGCTGGAGCTTTGGAATTTTTATAAGATCCCCAGGTGATTCTAACATGCAAACAACAACTTTGAGAACTGCATTTTAAAGTAAGTTTCAGTTCTATGTCTACGATTAAGAAAACTATCCAAAAACATCCCAAATCTGAAACAGACCACTACTGCGAATTTAAAAAAAAAAGTGAAAATAAAAGGAAAATATATACTATTGTAAAATAAGACCAACTATGGAAAATTGTTCCGTTTGTCCGTTAGCAATTCTGGCAACATTAAACTTCCCTATTATCTATGTATAAAAGGAGGTGTTCTATTATCCATTTGCTTTTGTGGTTTTACTGATTGCTTCAAGTGCGAATATGAATGTATAGCCAGGGGTAAGGGAAAGAAATATTATAGATTTTTAGTATTCCCCTGTTGCTATTCACTAGGGGTTATATAACTTAAGACTAGGAATCTGTAGAGCTTTAACTTTAAAGAACTAATTTTTAACCACCATTCAATTAAAGTTAGTACAATGACTTTGCATAATACATACATGAAATAATTAGTGAAGATGGTTCTTAATTTAAAGGATGTTAAACAGCTTGTAGACATCTGGTAACAAGCTGAAATGGGTCATTCAAAATTTATCTAACTAAATTAAGGGGAAAAAATGTTTCTCCTCCCAGGTTGCCATGTCACAAGATAACTAAACCGACTTAGTAGGCTTGCCTGGGAATCCTTAGCTGTCAGTGGTGAATATGCAAAGGGCCAGCAAATTAAATCAACCTGCCAAACTGTCAATTTCAAGCCTCATGACTGCATGAAAATAGCATCACTGGAAGAAATCAAGCATTGCCTTCTTTTGGGTTTCCTGGCACCTATTCAAATACTCATGCAGTTGTGGCTAATTTTGCATGCAAATTTCAGTCAATAAGCTCAGAACAAGACCTCCCAAGATATTTCAAAGGATCTGACAGTATTTTTTCTGAATACCAAATCGACAGTAGTTGAAATTCAATCTCCATTTTCTGGTGCTTTACATATGTACAATGTCCCCACCGCAGAGCTAAGTTAATGAGAGCCTTACCTGCTTTCACTCACATCCTCCCAGTCGTCCTTGCTGAGGTTCTCAAACATATTGCTCATAACCTTGATGGAGTGATTGAGAACCGTATGGTAACGACCCACAGAGCACTTTTTCTTGGCGGCTTTAAATTTAACCTTAGTAGTGGTGGTCTTACAAGCAGACTCTCCTGATCTGACTTTCGTGGTGGCCATCTCAGATTTAGCTTGGTCTGCTGAACGCTGTAATTTCTCCACTGAATTCATCAGCTCTTCATTTTCATTTCTCAACCCATCAGTTTCTGCCACTTGTCTCCTTAAGGAAGTGACTTCTGCCTCCAGCTCACTGATTTTTACTTGAAGTTCAGCTTTGTCTTTTTCTACATCTTGACTTCCCTTCTGTAACTGTTCTAGCTCTTTTTCTCTGGTCTTTGCATCTTCTTGCTGCTGTTCTATGAGGGATTTCAGGAAATCATTTTCTTTTATTAATTTTTTATTCCCTTCTTTTAGTTTTCTAGACCTTTTCTCAAAAGATTTTAGCCGATTTTCCAATTCAATGACCTAAACAGAAGAGTTTAATTTATTTTAAAAGTAGAATCATGCAGAGGGAATAGGACACAGAGAGGAATGTTAACAAACAGATTGTGATAGATTCCTCCCTGTCTACACACCGAGTTCATACTACAGTTATCTACAGTAATGGTTCCCTTCCTGGAATAGATCCTCTATCTTCATTCTTTTAGGCATTTGGGGGTAAGATCAAAGTTTCTACCTGAGTCTTTTGGGCCTTGATTGTTTTCAGCTCAAAATAATCCACATGCCAAAGAGACTTTCTACAGTATATTTCATCGTTTACTAAAAATTTTAATAAACATGATCTCTTCTGATAATCTCAAAAACATGTGAGGTAAGTACAGCCAATAATTATCTTCCTAGGAGAGGAAATGGAAGCTTTGAAAACCTAACATATAGAGGTAAACATTTCCTGGTTTAAACAGGGATTCAAATTCAGGATTTTGTGCCCATCCCACTACTCCACAAACCATATGGGAAAGGAGAGTTACCCAGATGTATACGGAAAATGAACAAAGAGCTGGGATCAAGAAAGAAAGAGTGAGACAAGAAACCTTTATGTAAAGGTATTACTCGTGACCTGGAGTAGAGGTATACAAGTTTGCACCAGACTGTCGTAGACCTCTGTATACTTTTGTGAATCAAATTCTATTGTTCCTTCTCAATACATATACTTTATTGGAGAGCTGAATAATGTGACAAAAAACACAGTGTTCAAGAATACATGAACATTTTTACTTCTTTCAAAATACTATATCATCAAATTATATTCTCCAATTAGTCAAAAACGCTACAAAAAATAAGGAGTACCATCTTTTTATAATCTCTTCGGTTTCTCTCGGTCATTTTTAATCACTTCCCAAAACAGTATACTTCTCATAAACATACTTTAAAATACTTTAGCATCTTAGATTCAGGGTGGACTGAGTAGAAGAGACTGTATTTTTTAAAATTTACTTTATGGAAACATGCAATTACACTTAAAAATGATTTTTGGCAGGGGTGATACAAAAATATTAGTAAGAAGTAGTTGGTCTATGGGAAACTTAATTTTGAGTTTGGTATGGATCTCACTTCTACCTCTAGTTGCTTTACCTGGTGAAGTATTTAACTCATTTTACTTTTAGTTTCCTCATCTGTGAGATGGAAATAGTAATAGCTATCTTGCAGTTTGCAAGTATTAAATATGATCATATACCACAGTTCTTGGCAGACAGTAAGTTTCAAACAGTTTATCATCATCACCATCATCCTTATCATTATTGTCTCTATTATTATTAATCATAACAGCTACTAAATAAAGTTACTTGAAAGATTACTTGCACTAAATATTGCTGAATTAGATATTAAATCAATTTTATACTTTGGATTAAAATATAACATGTTATGAACAAATATAACAAACATCTTAAGTTTCAGATGTCAATTTTAGAAATTAGCACTTTTTTCTGTTGACTAAAATTTGTTTACAATTGGTTACAACTTGACAAAAATTTTATATACCAATGGAAAAATATCTGTTTAAAGTCTGTTACGTTTAAAATGTTTAAAGTCTGTTAACTATCTAATGTGAAGCTATGTTTAATCGTAAGACCTGGTCAAAGTTTTCTGTATTTAAGTTTAAAATGGAGGAAAAAATAGCAAAACAGAGACACAAACTTCTCAAGAATTTGACAAGGCAAAGTCCATAGTACATATTAAAGTGTTATTCAAAGTATACTCTCAAAAAATTGTTGTTAAACTGATTTCAAATCTCCAAAAACAGAAAGGAAAAATTCAATATATATTTGTGAATGAAAGTCTGGGGGACTGTTAAGGGCATTTGGTTTGTGTGCTACTAGATCATCTCAAGTCCATATTTTTCCTCCAGTACTGAACATTTAAATAATTTACCCAAAAGATGGCTCCTTTCAAAACTGAAACACTTGATTTGTGAAGTTTATGTATTAGTTTGCTAGAGCTGCCATAACAAAGTCCTAAGACTAAGTGGCTAAAACCCTAATAACTTCATTTTGACTTAGCTCTTTAAAGACCTCCATCTCCAAATATAGTCACATTCTGAGATACAGAGGATTAAGACTTTGAAACAAGAATTGGGGAGGGGATACAATTCATCCCATAAGAATACAAAATGTTATTTTATTATTTTAAAAAGAATCTACTTACATGTTTCATTTCGACTACGTACAAATATTGTTTTCACGATGTTACTTCCTTTTAAACTCATTCTGAGCAAGTTTCATATACATCCTTCTAAAATAAGGAAACTCAACTAAAAAAGCTTAAACCATGACTATTGCCTTAGATTAACATTTAAAAAATAGGGGCAAATTGGTATGCTAATTTGACACATAGTCTAATGAAAAGAATTCCTGTTGACTTTTCAGGAGTTAAAATGGATTTCTGGATCCACTATGATAGTAGTAATTGAAGGCGAGCAGAATTTTGCCACCCCAAAATGTCTTTCTGGCACAAGTATTATCTTGAGCTGGTTATTTTTAAGAAACTGCAGATACAGGATAAGCTCTGAAAACTGAGTAGTAACTGACTCCCCAATCTCAACATTCTCTCTTGCCTTTTGCTGAAGAAAGTGTATAAGGTAATGGCTTGAGCCATTTCGAGGAATTACTCAGTTTTCCTGGGTGTCTCCCATGTATACAGGAGGTCCGTATACATGTTATTAAGCTACTGTTGGTTTTTCTTTTTTCATGTTAATCTGCCTCTTTTTTATATGGGGTGTCTCACCCAAGAACCTAGAAGAATAGAGGGAAAATTATTTCTCCTCCTCCACATCATTTATGGCAGTTGGAATGAAATAATAGATTTCTTTAGGGTTTCCATCCCAAGGTAGTAAGTAGTAGTGCAGTATTACATATCCATAGAGATAAAAATTATACAAAATCTGGCAAACAAGAATATTGTTCTGAAACGAAGATAAATTGCTATAAACTGTATGACATTCTAGATAGTAGTACAGATATTATTTCAATTACTTATTTTACCTTAAGACAAATGAACATGAGCATTTCTTGTTCTCTGTGTTATAGTGTTAACCTGATATGTGTCACTCAGTAATTAGATGACAGTCTCTGTTACCTGACCACAAGTGTCAGAAGTATAAGAAATCACATCAACTGCTGTTAAGTTATTAGATTTCCTTCAAGTCAATTCACAGATAGAAAAAATGTAAGTAGCTGCATTAATATTTTTGTCTATATGTTTGTACATTTCCAGCTTTATCTCAGTATCCAAGTGGTAATTGGTTATAAGAATAAATCTATTTAAAGAACATTTTCTTTGTAACAATAACAAAAAGTGCTAAAATAAAACCAACATTTTACTACTAATGATAGCCATGATATAAAGTGACTACAGGGTTTATGTGGGGTGGTTCTATTAAAACAGGAAGAGCTAAACCAAATCGTATGAGCATAAATTTTTTATCTAAAATGGGATGAGGCACACGTAATTTTCAAGTTTAAAATGAAAATTATAAACACATTATCATTTTACTGTAGTAAAGCTAAAACTTTGCTCAGTTTCTTAGTTCACATATTATAAATCTGTATGACTGTTGAAATGTAACATAGTTTCAAGTACCATTTTAAAATAAAACTGTTAAGTAAGCACAAATACGGTAAATTTTTATAGTTTCTATTGTTATCATTCTTTTCATCTTTGAAAATAATTTTAATCTATGTCAACAGAAGCATAAGTGTTTCCACATTTATTTCCCTAGCATTGATTTTTTTTTAGCCCCATTTTGGTAAGCCAATGATTTTGAATTATGAATTTAAATTAAGGACTCATACAAGGTTTAAGTTCATAAGCCCTCATTTTAAAATATAATCCTTTATGTTAAAATTCAGATTTAACTTGCTCAGCTCAATATCGTAAAGATTAGATTACCTTCTGTAATGTCTGCTCTGACATTTCTTTCCAATTCTTCTCTGGAGTACTCTTCTTGACCCCGTCATCCTCACCGTATCTTAAGAGTTGTTCTGGGAGACAATAAATAATATATTATGGTACCTCGTATACTGCTGAAACACTGTCCTGTCATTTTAAGAAAAAAGGTTCTGTGGTTTTCCAACTGTGAATAATGTAGTCTATTTTATTGTCAAGAATTTGGCCAGTAACTGAATGGTGACTTTTTCATGATTTTCAGTCACACAATTATGTATCTTTGTAGTGTCACTTTTTTTTTTCAGCATAAGATTTTTCAAAGGTACAACAGATCTACAGGTTAACAATGCTGTACTTTTATTCCCATTTTCATTCTTTTGTAGAGTATTCCCCCTTTGCCTTAAAAGCAGAATTCATTGCCTTTTTATCTACACAGTCACTACTAGTTTTGTTCTCTGGATCTTGTTCCCTGCCAGGAGGATCAGAGTGACTGCAGAACAAAGCAAACAGTAACAGAATTAGGGTGGACTGAAACTGTAATATCTCCTACCACCACCTTTTTTTTTTAAGTAAAAGATCATGCACTGGGCAGAGTAAACCAGAAGAATCACACTTCCAAAAAATGGATTTTATAACAAATAGAAATCCAGGTATAGGTCAAGTTGTTTCTACAAATCATTCCTACACTAGCCATGTATTTGACTACCAAAACTCCCTCAAACAAGCAAAAATGTACAAGTAACATACCAACGTTAAAGGAAAAAAATCATAAAAGTTCAGTTAATATTCTTAGAATTGAAATACATTAAAACTTATAAATAATTTTTTTCTTATCAGATAAATTTTATGACAAATTTAACTAATATTTTCTTACTAAATTATTTTTGGGATACAGCATTTCTCAAAGAATCAAAAAGGGGGTAAAAAAAGAATACAGAAAGCTGAAAGGATCCATAACTGTGTTAGCCTGAGATGATTTTGCTTTAAAGTATGCTTGGCTGCTGTAGGTCAGTGTAAAACTTTGATTTATCAACAAAGGAAAAAGAAAACAATATTATTCTCTGTAGAGCAGAAATCCTCTTGGTATAAACAGTGACTAACAAGTTTGTTAGAGTGAATTAGGCATTTCTTTTGTCTTTGAAACATGACATATCCAATTAAAACTTCTGTACTCATGAAATAAATAGAACACTGTTCTAAGGATAATAAAAGCTAGAATAGGTAGAATCTGCCACCTGGGGAATATGTACCTTTACCTTGATAATAATCTACTGGTTCCCAAGTTTCTTTTTCTAGTCCCCTAACACCATGGTGCTGAATTCATTTACAACACTCTTTTAGCAATATAGAAATAATATGCAAATACAATTCATCTGTTCTAGTCATTTAAATATCTGCTATAGTTCTAAGTGGAATATGTACACTTAAAAATAAGAAAATAGTTCTGTATTCAAAGAGCAAAGAATGCTAAAAATAGCTAAATAACTCCAATAAAATAAATGCTGAAGCTTGATTTTAAAATGAACTTTAAAATGAATTTGATTGCTCCTTTTGTGCTCCTGGGTGTCTGCAAGAGTCACTGATGGACTCGAAGACAATGCTCAGTTGTGGTTTTCTATTGAAAACTCTGTTTCTTACCTTCACAGGTTTTATTAAAAATACTCGAGCAGATAGGCCCAGGCCATGGAAAGGAACAAGAACCTGGCTCTGCCCCCTGATTTCCTTCCCCTTCCCCTTCAAAGGTCTCAGGATTTGGGAAATGAACAAAGAGGATCTAGTTAGAAATATACACTTCTGTTCTTGTCCTTTGGTGAATGTGTGAGCATATGCTTCACCTTGCTGAAAATTCATTTTTGATATTTTGGTTTTAAATGCTTTAATTTTAATGCTTTAATTTTTACTACTATAAAAATTCATTCTGATTTATATTCCTTCTCAGGAGCTTCTTTTCTCTCCAGTTTTCTTTCTAACTTTCAACTTTGCTTATTCGTAATTGTTTAAATTTATTTTATTCTATCTCATATTTTTCCCTTAATTGTCCTGGATTACGTTAAAAATTAATTAATTAATTAATTAATTAATTAATTCTTTTGCAACTTTTCATCCTCTTTTTTGATTCTCTTTTAGCTATTTTAACAAATTATTGTTAAAAACTCTGTTATCATTATGAAGAGTTGTACAATACGCTACTTTAAAATATGCCGCTTGGTATATTGATTATTTTAAGCAGTAGGCACTTGAAAAACAGTAAATACAAGGAGGGGCTTTCTCAAACTCCCCTTATCTACACAAAGATCCTCCCAAAGAAACTCAATTGTCATTACCTGCTCTCCTAAAGATTCATTAAACAGAGAAGATTAACTCTTATCATAGGAGAGGAGATTAGTCCATACTATACCCAGACAAGCTTTGTTACAAACTATCATATCTTTTATCTAGTCTTCTAAGGGCCCATTTATCTCTCCTAAAATAATTTTCTCTCCTCTAAGAGACCTACATCTCTCCTCTCCTTTCCCTATTAAGATGGTATGTAATTCTGAATTTTAAAGCCACCTCTATGAGTATTCATTTTTCCCTAGGTATCTTCTATGTGTACATAAGGTATACATGTTAATTTCTATTTTTCCATAGTTAATCTGTCTTTTATTATAGAAGTTCCAGCCAATAATTCCGAGGCAGAGAGGGAACATTATTTTTCCTCCCCTACAATTTTTTTTTTACTGATCTTAAGACTATGCTTCCTGCACTAACTTTCTTAAAGGTCTGTTTGTGATATCAACTTGGGAGATAAAGGTATATTGTGTCCTGGCAATTTCCTAAAGAATATTACTATTTTTATTTCATGTTAGGAAAAGTAAAATAAGAGTCATAGCAAGTAGTTACTATAGAAGGTACCTGCCATACCATACAATAAAAAATATGTATTTGGTCTTTGTCCCTGGCTTCCAGCATAGAACTTCTAAAGTCCTTGGAATTTCCTGAGTGACAGGGGTGAAAGGAGTATTTTTTGTTATTCATAACAAGCTCCTTTCAACAATAACTGAGTTTATGCTAATAAGGTGGCTCTTACTGGGCCACTAGACAGCTTTTGGACTGGGGTTGGTTGCAAAAGAATGCAACCATGTGATATGAGGGTTGGAATTTCCAGCTCCACCCTCCAGACCTCCAAGGAAGGGAGAAGGGCTGGAGGTTGAGTTCAATTGTCAATGATCAATGATTTAATTAATCATCCTATGTAATAAAGTTTCCACAAAAACCCCTAAATGACGGGATTCAGAGAGCATCTAGGTTGGTAAACATATGAAGGTTCATAACTGTTTCCACCCAATACATCTCTCTCCTATTTAGCTGTTTTGAGTTGTATCCTTTATAATAAACAAGTAATAGTAAATAAAGTGCTATCCTGACTTCTGTGATTCTTTCTAGCAAATAATCTGAAACTGAGGGAGGGTTTGTGGGAATACTTGATTTATAACCAGTGGGTCAGAGGTACAGGTGGCAACCTGAAGTGGGGATGAGCCCTGAACCTGTGGGGTCTGTGCTAACTCTGAGTAGTCAGTGTCAGAATCGAAAAGAACTGAATTATAGGATACCGAGTGGCTGTCCAGAAAATCAGAGAATTGGTTGTTGAGCAGAGGAAAAAATTCACACACTTGGTATCAAGAAGAGCTGTGCCAAAAAACAAACAAACAAACAACAAACAAAAACCTCATAGTACTGTTTTAAATAAATAAATTCGGATAAAATGCAATATTCAAGAACTTTCATGAAAAAGATTGTGATAATTAAACACTGTCTCTTTAGGCAAGATAAAAGTACATTAGCCAATTAAATGTAGAACCCATTTTTTCTGAGAAGTAACCTTAAGCTAATGAAAAAATAAAGTGCCATTTCTGATGGATGAGATGGAAGAGCAAGAAATAAATTCTGCTTCTGATGGGTAGGAGAGAATCTCAGTTACTAGATGTGACTGGGTGTTCAGCATAGCTTTTTTGAGAGCCAGCCTATCCCCTTTGACTTTACCTGGACTGGAGCCTTGGAGGAATCTACGCAGTTAGCTTTGAAAGAAAAGCAAGCCATTTTTGTTACTTGCCACAACTGTTCTGAAAAGGACGTTACCAGGACAATGAAAGAGAAAAGGACGTGGGAGAGTAGGATAATAGGTAGGGGTTTTTACCCCCACATTTTCTTCATTGTAAAATGAACCCTTAAATTGGTTTCTTAAAGTAATATGTCTTTTTTTTTACATTTTTTATTGAGTTATAGTCATTTTACAATGTTGTGCCAAATTCCAGTGTAGAGCACAATTTTTCAGTTATACATGAACATGCATATATTCATTGTCACATTTTTGTTTTTGCTGTGAGCTACAAGATCTTGTATATATTTCCCTGTGCTATACAGTATAATCTTGATTTCTCTTCTGCATATGCCTGTCAGTATCTACAAATTTTGAAATCCCTGTCTATCCCTTCCCACCCCTCTCGCCCCCTTGGCAACTGCAAGTCTGTATTCTATGTCTATGAGTCTTTCTGTTCTGTATTTATGTTCTTCATTTTTTTTTTCAAGATACCACATATGAGCGATCTCATATGATATTTTTCTTTCTCTTTCTGGCTTACTTCACTTAGAATGACATTCTCCAGGAACATCCATGTTGCTGCAAATGGCATTAAGTTGTCGTTTTTTATGGCTAAATAATATTCCATTGTATAAACTATACCACGTCTTCTTTATCCAGTCATCTGTGGATGGACATTTAAGCTGTTTCCATGTCTTGGCTATTATAAATAGTGCTTCTATGAAGTAATAAGCCTTTAATCAACTGCCCTCAATTCTGTTAATTTTCATGTGGATGTGTTAAAGAGATTTGAATATGCTATCTATAATTTCTTTAGCTAACTAGGAGGCCATAGGTAAACACTCTTGTTACCTTTATTCCTTCAACTCACAATTTAAAATTATTTTAAACAGTTTATTTTCCATGTTCAAGTGTTTTACTAGATATTAATCACTATTTTTACATTTAAGTAATTATGTGAAGTTTAGCTTAGTGAAGTTTAATATTTTAATTTGTGTTTTTGGTTTCATATAT